TACACCTCCCTGGACACTTGAGGCCTGATTCCTCCCCATCGTGTCTGGGGTTCTGTCCCACCTCACAGAGGTAGTCGAGGATCTCGAGGATGGTAAGCAGACTGGCTCCAATAAACAGTCCCATCTGTCCCCCAATGTCTCCTGTGGAGGCAGAGTGCTGTCAGCTCACAGTCACCTGCCCTATCCACACTTCTGCAGACCCAGGTACTCCATACACACCCAACAGCTCCGACACCTCATAGGCCGCCTTCTGCTCCACCGCCTCATAGTTGAGGGCCTCAAAGAAGATGTCCAGAACCAGTACGTTCTCCCTGGAGGAAAAGAAGCCGGAATTGCTTGCTGTACACCACCTGGTGCCAGGGGGAAGTAGGTGTGGATGCACTGGCCGGTTTGGAGAACCTGGGGTTATTCTCATCCCCCAAGTCAGAAAGTTTAAGTAGTTTGCCCAAAGTCCCAGAACCGGTTATGATGTGGAGATGAATCCAGCCTGTGCTGTGTGCAGAAGGGCTACGGTCCTGTTCCCTGCTAGGAACCCCTCGACTCAGGCACTGTGCCTTCAGCTTTGCTACCAGCCCTTGCTCACGCGATGTAGGTCTCGCTGCGGTTGTATTTCTGGGCCAGGTAGCGAGCTGAAGCGCGGCTGGGAATCCGCACCATGGAGAGCTCCTTGGCGTAGCGCGTAGTGGAGCACGGGCTGGGACAGACACACGTGTCCTTTCGCAACATGGCGTCTGCAGGCAGGCCCCAAAGCAAGGATCAGGACCACTCAGTAAGAGGGTTGAGGTCAACAGCCGAGTGGATGGGGACGGGACAGGGAGGCTGAAGAGTCGTGCCCTTACCCAGAGCTGGGCTGGCACAGTCCTTGTACTGCTGGGGGCTGCACACTGGTGAGTTTCCTAGGATAGAACGATGAGAACGGAGCCCAAGAGCGCCCCCTAGGGTACCCCCATTCCCTACTCTCAACAGACCCCAGCTTCTTACCAGGCATATGCATCATTCGGCATCCACACTTCCGAGCCACATAGCGGGTCTCACAGGCCAGGCGACACCCTATTAAACTATAAGGAGGGCTGGGGCTGGAGTTAGGGGAACCCAGGGAATCAGAGGGCTCTGGATCAAAGTCAGGGTCCACAGATGCAGTATTGCAGTCACCCCAGGGTGGTGGCAGGAAGCTCAGCTGTGGAGGGACAAGGTTAAGGAGACTGCATTAATAGAAGTTTGTGGGGTGAGGGCCCCAGAAACAAGCTGAGGCATTGTGGTTTGGGGTCTGAGGGTCTTCTGAGGTGGGTAGGAGTTTGGGGCAGGTGGGAGGCACAGACAGTTGAACCAACATACTTGCTGCTGCTGGCAGGATACAAAAGTCTGGTGGCCTGGGGCTGCCCCGAAGCCCAGCTGGTCAATGGCAGGGGGCTCCTCCTGGCTGTGGATCTGCACTCGGATCCCCACCTCAAACGGGGTCTCTTCTGCAGGGAGGGGCCTTTAAGGCCCCAGACACTCCACTCCCAGGAGAGAATCCCTTGGCAGTTCCTCTCCTCAGGATTTGGAAAAGCCAGCCCTGTCTTTTCTCACAAGATGCGCTTTGAAACTCGTCCCTGCACACCTGCCTCCTCTCCTTCCCATGGTCTCTGTGATTTCCCAGCCTCATGCATGCCTCCCCCCCTCATCCCTCCTCACAGGCAAATGACCCTGTGCCCCTCACCCATGTCCTTCCAGATGGGCAGGTACTCCTCCTGCTGTACATCCAACATAATCTCCAGCCCATTGCCAGCACCACCTTTTGGGGTGGTGAGCAGCTCTGCCCCGTGGGCACCGGAGTTGAAGGTGTAGCACTGCCCCATGCGAGTGAAGATCTGGGAAGAAAGGAATAGCCCCTCTCTTACACAAGCCCTTGGGCATGGGAGCACTCCCCTCCTTGACCCCTTCTCTTTGTTTTTGTCATTTGGGGGGTGTGGGGCACGCAGTCTGGGCTTGTCTGGTGCTTGCTATATAGCCGAGATGCCCTCCAATTTCTGGTTCTCCTGCCTCCAAATACCAAGTGCTGGGATTATAGGTATGAATTGCTATACAAATCCTTGGATCTTACCCCCTCAATGTGTTACTTAAATACTTGGGGGGGGAGGACGACTGGACCTAGGTTACTAAATCTAGGTGATCTAGCTGAATTTCCACCCTGCCCTAAGACTCTTTCTTTCTTTTTTGATACACTTTCTCTCTACTGTGCAGATGAGGCTCCCTGTAACTCACAGGGCTCCTCCTGCCTCTGCTTCCCAGGCTTTGGGATTAAAGGTGTGCGCCACTGTACTTGTTTTATGCTGTGGACATTTTGATACCAAGTCTCATGCAGTCTCCCACTCTCCTTGAAAGAACTCTGAAGCCCACATCTCAGTGCCCTTAGCCTCATATATAGATATGTGGAATGGGGAGACCTCCCTACTCACTCCAGCTCCTCTGCCTCTCACCAAAGTCCTGGGCGCAGCCGATAGAAGTAATTGGAATAAAAGGCAATGGATCTATTATTGTCCTCCTTTGGGGTGACAAAATTTGGATGAGACAGAAGAAAGTCCTCTCCTAGCAGAGAGGGGTCTTCTGCCCCAGAATAGGCCCAGGGTATTGAATTTTACCCTAGGAGTAGTGTCTCTACCAGCTGGCCCTTGGCCCTGCAGCCTGCTTGGGTCAGTGTCCTTGCCGAGAGGCATAGCCAGGTGCACAAATGTCTAATTGTGAGCTGGAGAGAACCCCCAGAAGCCACTTCCTAGACTAGACAGAATGGCTTGGTGAGTGGAGAGCCTATGGCTGGCAGGCAGGAAGGAATACCCAGACAAGGGGTGTTAAAGTTCCCTGTTTTGGGGGAATCTTGGGCTAACAAGGCCGAGGATTATAGACATGGTCTCAGGGCATTTGGCTCACCACTGTGAAGTTCTCAGGCCCACAGGGCTGGCCACGGTAGCGGCAATCCAGTAGCATGTCCTCAAGAGAGTGGCCGGCTCTGACGTAGAGTTGTGCCATGTCGAAGGTGGGACTGGGCATGAAGCCAGGCGGTGCAGGGCCCTGGCCCAGGGCACGAAGGTAGGCACCATGTTCAGCAGGGTCCAGGCCCAGCAATGCTGTCCCAGCCCAATGCAAGTCATTGGGTGTGAGGCGGGAGCGGCGCAATGGATTGATATTACACAGAGTGACCGCTGGGAAGGTGAGCTGGTGGCTTTCCCGCTCATCTAGGGTGGTTTTATGGTGGAACTCCCCATAGTAGCGCACTCGCTCAGCCACCTGGTAGAGGAAGGCCGCCAGCGACAGGAGCACAGCTGCGGCCCAAAGCCCACGGCGCAGGGTCAGGCCTCCTGGGCCAAAGACGTGGCCCAGACCATGCATTGTACAGCTGCTGGCGAACACCCGGATGTCTGAGGCCTGTCGCCGCTGGGCCTCCTCCAGTCCTGAGGGGGGTTTCATGGCTATAGCCCAGGGAAGGGACTGATGACTGGGTACAGGGACTCCAAGGAGTGACAGAGGCTGTTTTATAGGACAGTTGGGGAATTGAAAAGGGAGTTAAGTGGCTCAGCGAGGAATAGGGAGGAGAGCAAAGGAGAAGGTAGAAAAGAGGATAGAGAATGAGAGGTACTGGCCTGGTAGGACTGGATGAGATGAATTTCGGTCCAGCTCTGCTTTCCCCAGAACAGGCGTTGGCTCCTTGGAGCTGGGGCTCTGCAGTAAGGACCTGGTAGGGCGCAGGAGGTAGTGGCAGGCAGGGGCTGGAGATCAGGACTGAGCTGAAGCTGCTGCAGAGGATTAGGTTTCAGCATGGGGGGGCTGGGGGCCAGCAGAGCAGTCTGGGGGGTAGGGAAGGTCCCTGGGGCCCCAGGCTGAGCCATTAGTGCAGCACGGGGGGAGTCACTGCTGTCAGAGACCAGAGGCGCCAGGAGGAAACCGCAGCAATGCTGGGTAGGGCTTGAAGGAAACCCAGACATGTATTGGGGTTGGGGATGCCTTTGGGGCCCCTCAGGCTCCCAGTCACAGCCCCTGAATGCCAGACCAGAGGGTTAGCTGCTGATTTTTGGTTCAGCCCCTCTTTCCTTTTGCCTTTCCTGCCCTTCCATGAACTCACCTGGCATAACCATTTGTTCTTTCGCAGAGTGGACCTGGCTCTTGACCAAGCTGAAGAGTGGTGGGAGGTTTGGCACAAGCAGATCTTCTTTTCCTATGCCCCCAGCATCCTGCATGACTAGGCCCTCTTCAGATTCCATATCCAATGGCTTTCTGTGTTTGAGTGTCCCAGACCCCACCTCCTCATTCTCCCGCCCTCCTGTTTGTGAGGCTATGTTCCTCCGCAATGACTATGGACTCTCCTGCTACCCCGCAAAATAGCCAGGGTACCGTGTGACTTGACACCTTCCTCTCTTGATTAACATATTCTAGGATCATGACCTCTGGCACCTGGGAAGCTTCCTCATTTCTGAAAGTGGTCCAACACCATCATGGAGAGGTGATGTCTTATGTCTTCTCTAATGAGCACCGAGGAGTCCAGCCTTTCAATACCAGCTTTGCGATCAGTCAAACTCCAAGTTCCTGGGTTTTGACTACTGCCTTATAATTTGATAGCTGTGACCAAATCCGCTACCCCCACCCTAATAGCAGTTGAGTCATTTTGTACTCCTTTTAGTCTTGAGCAGGGAGGATGCCTGGAGGGCATTCCAGGCCCTAACCCCTCCCCCCCCACGGGGCAAAGGCAGCACGTGATCCAAGGCATGGAGCTACCTCCAGGAATTCAGAAGAGAAGGGTAGAGCTGCAGGGGTGGGGTGGGTACACTCTCGAGCTGGAGGACTAGCACAAGCTCAGCACTAGCTGGCTTGGCGGAGTGTGAGGGACTCTGACGAGGAGCCATAGCCTGAGGGCATCTGAACAGGGACTGCAAGGTCTGTGCTGGGTAAATTCTATACTCTCATGTATCTGGGAATTGGGCAAAACCTTAGTATGCTCAAGAGTAATCAGATACACCCACTATTTACATACACTTTCTTCTAATGTTTCATTTATTATTTATTGGGGGTGTGTGTCACAATGTGTGTGAAGTTAGAAGAAAACTTGTGGGTGTGCTCATTCACCATGTGAGTCTTGGGGGATGGAACTCAGGTCCTTCAGTTTGGTGGCAGGTGTTTCTCATTGGCCCCAGAACTGTATTTATATTCCGTGTCTTTGAAAAGCACTGGAGACCAGGTTCATTCTGGTAGCTTCAGGCCTTGAGTGGTGGGGATGCAGTTCCACCAACCGCACAGTGCGCTGCCTCTGATTGTATGTACACTGGGCTCAGTCTCAGAAACTGTCCCAGGTTTAGTGGCAAGTAACACCTTACAAAAGATAGGTGACTACAATGGCTTGGGGCACAGGTCTGACTGCTTTCTGGGACCACTGCACTGTGGCTTTTAAGGGCCTTGTTATAAAATGTCCCCCTTAACTCTTGGAAACATATTTTGAGAGGAAGTCCAGCTAATCTGCTGTTCTCTACTGAGGGGCTGGCAGAGTCAAGCCAGGGTGATAGGGTAGGGTCACCAGCCATTGGTCATAGGGTCCCATTCCCTGGTGAGTAGCCATCCTGTGGCTGTCAGGGGGCTTAGAATCACACTAAGTGATGTGTACACTGCCAGTCAGGTGACTGTACATGACGCTGAGCCACCTGGCTGGTTGGCTGCCCCGTAAGGGAGATTTTATGCCCAACTGGACCAAGGGTCGGGCCAGATGGGGGAATTCCTATGGAAAGCAGAGGCCTTTCTCTAAGCTGCACTTGGCAGGGGTGTGGGGCACGGTGGTGACTAGGCAACTGAAGCCACCCAGAACTCAGCTTCCAGGACTGTCACTACAGATACCGAACCAGGCCACTGTGGACTAGGGGGTAGGTTCCTTGTCCTCACAGCAGTATATGGTCCTAACCACAAGACCCACCTCAGTTTCTGCACTCACTGAGCCTCTACACTGGCCTCCAGCAGCAGCTGTTTCTGCAGTCTGTGCCCATCGCTCCTGAAAAACTATTATCCTTTGCCACATGAAAAGTATGAAATGTTTGTCTGAACATGAAGTTACAGCACCTTTCCCCTGCCCTGCAGAATCCTACAACCTGGATGTGGTTGGCCGGGGATGGATTCTCAGTGGGAAGTGACCTACAGTACCAAGGCTAAAGGCCATCACCCTTTGGGAGTAAGTTAAGTGGATGAATGCATTGGCAGCTCTGGGAGCATCAGTGCCATCTAAGGGGTCCTTTGCATGCTTCCCTGGACACCTGAGAAGCCAATGGAGGCCCCAACTTGCCTCAATTACAGCTTTGGGGCCATATGCTCATGTCATTCAGGCTGTCTGCTTATCCCCATTCAAGGTGAGGCCACCATCCCACTACTTCCATGATCCTTATGGCTACTCATATGAACCTCATATTGCCTTGTGTATTAGCTGTGCCTTCCACCTTTGGGGCAGGCTCTCACAAAAGCCTTGCTAGCCTCAAACTCTATGTAGCCAAGGATGATCTCAAACTGATCACCCTGCCTCTACCTGCCATCTGCAGGAATTACAGGTCTGCACCACCATGCCAGTATCTGGGCACATGGCCCAGTCTCAGTCTCTTTAATGTCTCTTCGATTTTATAGTCTCACCAGGTCAGATATGAAGCACACAGGGAACAGGCAGGCAGGCTGGGTGCTTCTTGTACAATAGACTGCTACCACTTCATCCTGCCAGAGACCATGGTTGCGGCTTTGTTGGGGATGCAAGGGTAAGGCTAGGGATGTATGGTCCTTCCTAGGGTGAGGTGGAGCCTAGGTCTGAGGTCCCGGGTTACTCCCAACCCTGGATTTTATTATTTTATTGGCAGTGCTAAGGCTCAAATCTAGGCTCTCCTATATGTCAGGCACTCTGCTACTGAGCTATAGCCTTAGTCTCTTTTAAAATTGCCTTTTATTACATTTATTTATTTAGGACTTATTTGAGACAGGGTCTCACTATATAGCCCGGGTGGCCTTGAACCCCTCGATCCTCCTACTTTAGTCTCCCAAGTGCCTGAATTACAACCCATTCTACCAGGCCTGGCCAGACCGCGAATTTTCAGTCCCCACAGTGAGGGCCTGAATAACCTTAGAGTGCTGGGCAGGACTGGGACAGAGGGAAAGACTCAAGCAGAGGTGCCTCAGGGACTCTGCCTCACCTTGTACATCACAGTAATCACAGAGCTGAGCCAGGACAGGTGGGAGGAAAGTCACCTTCCCACCCCAGCTGCTAGGCCCAGATCCTTTACAGGAGCAGAAGTGCAGGCTACACCCCACCCTGGCCCCTTAAGAGCTCTGTCCCCAGCAGAGCTCCAGCCCCAGACTGGCTCTTGGCAGTGACTTGACCCCGGGGGGGGGGGGGGTCTCAGGCTTTCCACTGGGGGCTCCTGGGGTCTTCAGGCTTCTCTGCAGGTGGGGCCGAGGTCAGTGGGGCATCCAGGGCTTGTCTCCGGATAAGCTCTGCATACAGCCCGCCCTTTTTAAGGAGTTCTTCGTGGGTCCCGGCCTGGAGACAGAAGGAGTGTCATTTCAACAGAGCTAAACTTAGAGCGAGCCCCAGCCTCAACCACCTGTTAGGCTCCCAGTCACTTAAGCTAGTGCCCCTTATAGAGACACTTGACAACTCCGGGCTCATTTTAAATGAAACACCTCGGACATAGCTTGATTAGTCAATGCCACTTCCTGCTCAGCTGACATTGAGAGGTCTGATCCCTCCTGTGTTTCCTTCGGCTGGGGCTGTGAGATATACATGCATAGGCTCTGAGTTCTGCCCCTGACTGCTCCCGTACAAGTCCCTGGTCTACAGAGGTAGTTCCAGGACAGCCACGGCTACACAGAAAAAGCTGAATAGGTTTCTCAAAAAAACAAAACAAAACAAAAAACCCCCACAAGTTTCTGATGCGATATCTGAGCCCCTGGCCAGCTCTGCGCTCTACCTCAGTTTCTTCACCAACACATACACATGCTCTGGTCCTGGGAGCCTGTAGCTCACCTCTCCCAGAGGTCAGAGCTTATCTGCAGACAGGAAGACCTTGGTCTGTTGGGGTGTTGTTCCCAGAACATGACCTCAAGCACCTGGAGCCAAGCCAGGTGCTCATATAGCTTAGCTATGCTACCTGAGCCACTGCCCACTCCCAGCCCGACTGACCTCACAGACTTGGCCATTGGCCATGACGACGATGCAGTGGGCTGCACGAACAGTACTGAGCCGGTGGGCAATGACTAACACGGTGCGACCAGCGCTGGCCCGGTCCAGGGCCTCCTGCACTACCCTTTCAGATTCTGCATCTAGGGCACTGGTTGCCTCGTCCAGGATCAACACAGTGGGATGCTTGATGAGGGCACGTGCGATGGCGAGGCGCTGCTTCTGGCCACCAGACAAGGTTGTGCCCCGCTCACCTAGGGAAAGAGGGGACAGGATCTGAAGTGATCCTTGGCTCCACACTTGGTGGTGGTAGGCAATGTGCATTGGATACTTAGGAACTTCCAAGTCTCTACTCTGTGTGCACACTTGTCAGTCCGAGAGCTCCAGCAGGATAGTGCACACAAAACACATGCATGAGTGCCCCTTCCTAGGCGGGTCTCTGAGCTGAGTGAGCAGTTCCCAGCAGGTGCCTACAGCAACAACTAGCTTCCGGGATCCCAGCCTCAGCTGTAGTAAGACCACTTGGTAACCAAGCATGAGCAGTGCAGCAGAAATGCTAAACACAGAAGCACCTGAAGCCACAGAGGACAGACGTGACATTCTGGAAGCCACAAATAACCTCAAGGGACTGCAAAAGAATGGCAGGGTCACAGGTCAGTAAGGGGAACAGTCCTGGGAAGCCCAATAACAAGGGACACTGGAATTAAAAGTACAAGGAAGTGCCCACCAGGAGAGATGACAAGGGCCTCCCATGAGAACAACACAGAGCCCTGGGCATGTAAGCACAGCGACATTAGGACCTGAAGGAACTGCTAGAGATGGGCACGGGCTGAAAGATCCAGGTCAGTAGCTGAGAAGCCTCGAGAGGTACTGGAACATTCTGTACATAACCCAGCGGCTGGCTAGCACATACTCTCTATATGATACACACAGCCCCAGAGTTGGACAGAAGAGCCGTAGGGATGAACATCCAAGGCTCAGGGTGTCACAGGCACGAGTTAGTGTGCTACTGTATGGTCCAGTACCCTGAAATGAGAAAGGCCTGCACAAGATGCCAGCCTGTTGTGCTGAGGGATGCCACTGAAGTGCAAGAGACCTGGGGTATTCTGGGAACCAGAAGAACAGGGACAGTTTTGAGAGGAGTCCTCTTTCCTGTCTTGGGTTGTGGTAGGGCTCCAGAGTATACAAGTCCCATTTACTGTTCTCCCATTTACCACTGTTATATTCTCTGTCTCCTCTCAGAGCCCTGTCTAGTCTGTTATGCCTAAGTCACATGAGTTGGAGTTCTGTCCCCATAGAGCCACCTTTGTCCCCTCAGCCACAGTCTGGCATTTCCTGGTTTCTATTCTATCTCTGAGCTGCCCCTCTCAAGAGTCACAATGAGTTGCTCATTGCCCGTAGAACCCTGGCTCCTGAGCCTCACCACTGCCCTGATGACCCAGTAGCTTCCCACCAAGGGACCCACCAACCACGGTATTGTAGCCATCAGGGAAGCTGCTGATGAACTCGTGGGCGTTGGCTTCTCTTGCAGCTGTATACACCTCTTCATCAGAAGCGTCCACTTTCCCGAATCGGATATTCTCCATGATGGTTGTTCCAAATAGGACTGGCTCCTGCAAGGTTGAAGGGCACGGGAACACAGAGATGGCATTTACAGACTACACTGAGTTCAGTCTCAGAATTTGGGGACTGCCATGAGCACCAGGGACCTATTTTAGAGAACCCCAATTGCAGGGAGGGTCTGAAGTTCAAAGCCAGACTCCAATCATGTGAGGACAGGGTGATTCATTCAGTGGGACACAGACTCCCTCACCAAAGGTGTTGATGGACAGGCCCTATAAAGTGATAGCGGGCCATTTGAGTTTTAGTCTCTTCCTACATGTGGGTAGTTGTCATTCCCATAGTGGTGTGTTGGCTTTATCTCTAGTCCACAAAGAAAAAAATGGCCCCTTGTTGGGTTTGGTGGGTGGTGGCCACTGGCAGTCTCAGGACCTCTGCTTTCAGATCCTAAGACTGCAGCGTCTATGCTCTGGAGTATGAGGATCGAGCTGCAGCTGTCTGGAGAGGACATCCTGGACCTAGAGAATGGCCACAGACATCCTCAGAGGATCAGGGAGAGAAGTAGTGGAGAAGAAAGAAAAGGGGCTCCGGTTTGATGCTCAGACCCTGCCAGCCTCTGCCCTTCACCTGGCTGATAAAGCCGATGACCTGGCTCCGAAGCCAGGAGGGGTTGAGAGTACGCAGGTCGTGCCCATCCAGTGTCACCATGCCAGCTGTGGGGTCATAGAAGCGCTCCAGCAGGGAAGCCACTGTGGTCTTTCCTGGAGGAAGGGGAAGTTGGAGGTGTGGGGAGAGAAGAGAGGGTTTTGGAGACTCTCCCAGCAAAGAGGGACCCTTGTGGCATGGAGGATACCCAGGTAGGAGCAGGAACTAATAGGGTTTGCTACCAGCCATGCTCCAAGTGGTTACCAAAAAATGAACCAGAGAACAGGAGATGGTGAGGTTCTCCTTACCTCCCCCAGACTGGCCCACAAGGGCCACAATCTTGCCAGGTGGCAGCGTCAGGGTGAAGTCTTTGAGCACCTCGAAGCCGGGGCGGCAGGGGTAGCTGTGGATGGCCAAGTGAGTCCCAGTCAGACCGGGTTTCTGAACCTTACTGTCCTTCTAAGTCCCCTGACAGGGCCTTGCTTACAGGGAGTATTCCGTTAGAATGCCTCCCGACTTCCTCTCATGCTCAGCCCACCCACCAATGCTGACCTGAAGCTGACATTCTGGAAGGTGATGGAGCCATGGAGGTCCTTGCTGGGGATGCAGTAGCCCCCTGTCAATGGGATGCAGGGGCTCAGGGCCATGTACTCAAAGACACGGGCACCCGCACTCATTCCACGTACCACCTGCAGAGGGAATCCAGCTTGTAGTTTAAATTAGAAGCCCCATGGAAGGGGGCTTCTGGTACTGGATGGGGCTGTAGTGTGTCTATCCAGAGCTCTCACAGCCACACACACACACACCATCTTGGGACAATCTCACTTACCTGACCAAACAGGACAGAGAGACTGGCCATAGACCTGTCAGGTGAGAGAGTTGGGAGAGGTGTTAATAAGAGCCGGAGAGAAGGGAAAGATTGTGGTAGGAGAGACAAGGACACAGGGCTAATGCAGAGAAGACCCCCAACATCTTATGGCTACAGGAGCCCTGTGACCCTGTGATACCAGATCACTAAGCTTCTGTCTCCTCTCCAGTTACGGGCTAAGCCAGGATCTGAGGATGCTCCAGGAGGTAGTGAATGTGGGACATGCCTGGGACTCAATGGTATGCCCAAATGCTTCCAGGCCTTCAGTATGCAGGGTGAAGCTGGTCCACAGCACTATAGAGGACATCAGCAAAATGGAAAGGGTATAACTGATCCCATGACCTCTACCTGACCTGACTGTGTGGATGCCTTGACAGAGGTCACAGGGATAGGTGTAGGTCCACAGTGGGAGGACAGATCTAATGCTTGACATTGGGGAAAACAAGGACTCACTTTCAAAGTAAGGTGAGAAAGAGTCACGCCCTTTCAGAAAATGAAGAAAATAGGGGCCGGGCTATACGGGGAAGCCCTGGAGAGCCCCCAAAGCAAAACTCCCCCACAAAGGTTTTACTGTGGGTTTGCCCTAAAGTTGGATATGTGTAGGAGATGGCATGTGTTTATCTGTCTAGACAGTGGGTCACCTCCCTTGTCTTGGCAGGGCTGGGGCTGGAGCTGGTCGCCTACTATGAGCTAAGGAGGCAGATGAGTCAACAGCCTTAGTCACGGTCCCCAGTGGGTTGGCTAACCCATCACTGTATATGCAGCTGTGTGCAATGGGTCCTTTCTGAGGAAAAAGGCTGCCATCCCAGAAAGCTATGGGACAAACTCATTTTTTTTTTTTTAAAGGTGCTGGAGTAAGCACCTTAAAGTTCCCAAGGAAACAGTTATGGAAGGCTTAGGGAAATAGGCACTTTGTCAGGAACAGAAGGCTGTGGAGGGCGGGGCTAGGTGGGTGAGTTATCTGTGGATGTGGATGAGACCAGCTCACAGGAGACCTGGAAGCCATTAGAGCCTGGCAAAGGGGCCAACGGCAACTGAAATCCAAAACACACATGACTCACAGGAGTGCCCTGACCTTGCTCTGAGAGCTGGCACAATGGGGCCAGCTGCAGACTGATGAAGTGAACTGGCCCGGACAAGTTCCCTAGGAGACCATCCATTCTCTGCCAAAAGGAACACTTAGCTGGGACTGCTCTGTCCTGCTCATTCCTCCCTTTGGACCTCAGCCCCGACATGTGGACCCTTGGATACACAGCAAGGGCCAGGAAGAAACACAGCAGCTTCCTTAAGGAGGCCGGTTCCTCCAGGTGGCTGGTGATGGCGATCTGACCGGGGCCTGAGATGGTGCAGGCTGCCCCCAGGGCTGCCCCGCAGTTACAAGCACAGTGTTGCTTAGGGCTTAGTAGTACAGTAGTAGGCAGGTAAGAACATGAAGGTGGGAGGTGTGTGCCCAGGGAGTAGAGCCAAGTAGTTAGGCTGAGTGCACGGCACAAGAAGGATCATGAGGTGCTACAGTCCAAGCTGACCAGGGAGTTAATTAGGTCAGCGAGGTAGCAGAGGGAACATGGTGATTGCCACCTCTTCTGCAATCAGAGCACTAGATCCCAAAGACAGGAAGGAACAGCTGCTGGGCCAGAGGGTCTGAAGGTCCCTGGTGTGAAGCAGGAAGGGAACCAGGGGCAATGCTCATGCAGCTGGGAACCAGGTGTACTCTGCAGACCTCTGGCTGCAGTGGGGATGGGACTGTTCTACCATACTCAGGATTGGCCTTACTTCACCTGGGCACTGTCACTAAACCATTCTCTAAGAAACTGTGGAGTTACAGCAATGGCAAGATAGGACTCTGGACAGTGACAGGGCTCCACTGGGATCAGATTGTCATCTCTAGCTGGGCAGTGTTGATGCACACCTTTAATCCCAGGACTTGGGAGGCAGAAGCAGGCGGATCTCTGTGACTTTGAGGCTAGCCTGAACTACATAGTTAGTTCTAGGACAGCCAGGGCTACACAGAGAAACCCTGTCTTACCCCCTCCTCAAAAAGTTTTATCTCTGTAGGGAAGGATCAATTTGAGGAAGAGGGGGCACTTCTTGACATGGAAGGTGCTAATATGTCTTTGCTCTTAATTATTTATTATAGTATACTCAGTCTTTAATTATTTATAATATATATTTATATGTTTATGCTTGCTATATATAGGGAAAGCAAGGTAGAAAACAACAGAAAGTGTTTGAGTTTCATTGAGAAAGAGAAGGGGATTACATTAGAAGCCCATAAGGGGAGCCCACTGAGGCTGCCTTATGCCCAAGGGGACAGATGAGCTCCAGGTTGCCGCACAGGGTAGATGGGGCTCAACTAAGCAAGGAGTAGCATTTGTGCAGTAAGGAGGCTGTGTCTCATCCCAAGAAATGGTCTGAGGCCAAGACAGCCCTTAAAAAGCCTGTCAAGGATGGTCTATCTACAGAATACTCAGTTCTGACACATGCCACAAGATAGAGGGGACCCTCACCCCCAAAGCACTGTGCTGGGTGAAAGCAGCCAGGCACAAAGGGAGGGATGATGTGTGATCACTCTTCTGTGTGGCCAGGGTCACAGAAGGCAGACAGCAGAAGGGTGCCAGAGCTGGGGAGAAGTAGGAAGCTAGTGTTTAAAGGGAGTGAAGTCTCACTTTTGTGGGAAGCTAACGTTCAGGTGATAGGTGTCAGTGGTGGCTGGAAACACTGGGACATGCACAACGCTCCCACAGTGGATACTTAAAAATGGCTAAGGTGGGGGGCTGGAGAGATGGCTCAGAGGTTAAGAGCATTGCCTGCTCTTCCAAAGGTCCTGAGTTCAATTCCCAGCAACCACATGGTGGCTCACAACCATCTATAATGGGGTCTGGTGCCCTCTGCTGGCCTGCAGGCATGCACACAGACAGAATATTGTATACATAATAAATAAATAAAATAAAAAAAAATGGCTAAGGTGGTAAATTCTCCATTGTCTATGTCACCACAATTCACTTGGTTTTTGAAAGCTTCTCAAGAACACTTGAGGGTTGTCTGGAAAGCTAATGATGCTGACTGCATTCCTGAATACAGGCTCAGTGAAGCCAGAGAAGGCTCTGGTGGAAGTTTTGGGGCTCTTCCCTGTGCTGTGTTTCCTTGAGGGACCAGGCAGGGTTAGTGTTATGCACTAGCCCCTCCTCCAAGCGTGCTGGCACCCCTGTTCTCCTAGTAAGCAGGGTTATGGGAGGATGGGACAGATGAAGACAGAACTACTGAGAGATGAAAATGGTCCCCACTCACCTCTGTACCGTCTGGGAAGCCACCAGGAAGGACATGAGGTCTCCCCCTCTCAGCTGCTGTCCAGCCACAAGGGAGCCCCCAATGAACAGGGTGCCCAAGACCATACCTACATGGAAAGGGGCCAGGCAGTGAGGCAGGAAGTGGCTAGAGATGAGGGCTGAGTCCTGAATCTTATCCCTGCTCTGCTACCAGCTGACTTTTAGGCCTGAATTCCTTATTTGCAAAACAAGATGAGCACGCCAGGTTTAATGATATTTAGTTAACACTCATGAGGCTAAGGCAGGAGGATTATGAGTTCAAGGCAGCCTGGGATACAGAAAAAGTCTGAAGTTAGCCTAGGTGACTTAGTGAAGGGCTGGGGAGATGGCTCAGTAAGTAAGGGCACACATCGCTCAGGCTGAGGACCTGAGTTCAGTTCCCAGCAGCCACATCAGGCAGCTCATGACTGCCTGTAACTTCAGCTCTGGTGGCCTCTGTGGGCCCTGCACTCACATACACAGACCCACATGTACACATAATTTAAAAATAAAAAAAAATGAGGGGCTGGAGAGATAGCTCAGTAGTTAAGAGCATTAATTGCTCTTCCTAGGTCCTGAGTTCAATTTCCACAACCACATGGTGGCTCACAACCATCTGTAATGAGATCTTGTGCCCTCTTTTGGTCTGTAGGTATACAGACAGAACACTGTATACATAATAAATAAATAAATAAAAATCTTAAAAAAAAACCTATAAAGGGCTGGAGAGACAGATCAGTAGTAGTAGTTTTCCTAAAATGCTTAAAGTCTCGATTCTACCCTAGTGGCACAAAAATAAATAGGAGTGGGGAGGGACAAGGGTACACACACTCCCTAAGGGTGCTCTGTAGCATTCTCCGTAAGCTAAGGAAGGAATGTCACTCTCTAGTTCCCTACAGTTGTTGGTAGCTGGAGCATCTCACAAATGAAGGTACATCTGGCAGGTGGAGACTGCTGCCTATCTCTGCTCTCACCTAGTCCATGCCCACGTCCCCTCCCAGGCAGGGCCTCATTCACTCACAGTTAAAAGCGATGTTGGAGAGCCCTTGGAACAAGGCAATGCCCCTGCCCAGCTCTTCTGCTTTACAGCGGCATGACTCCAGCTCTGTTTGATAGCGTCTGGGAAGAAAGGCCAGGCTGGGAACTCAGGAAGCATCCGGGCTGGGGGCCAGGGCAAGGGAGGGTATGTGAGAATGATGGACCCATTTTGTATTCTGCTTTCCCAGGACTTACTCCTCTTCCCTCTCCTCCATAGCAAAGGCCCGCACAGTCCGAACATTGCCTAGGGCCTCGTCTGCTACGCCTGTTGCCCTGGCAATCTGCATGGAGACAGAGAAACAGGAAGTAGGTTATAGACAGGAAGAGGGGCAACGAGGGTCAAGAGGAATGGGCCAGAGATGCTAGGAAGAAACAAGGGAGACATGTCAAGAATTCCAGTACCTGCTCCTGACATTGGCGAGACAACTTTCGGAGACCTGAGCCCATCAGGGTGCCCACTCCCATGAGGGCAGGTGTGGCGATAGCCAGCAGCAGTGTGAGGCGTGGGGACAGCATAGACAGGGACACCAGGCTACCAATCACTTGGGTACAACTGCGCAATCCCTGGGTAGCGAGAGGAAGGCAGGAGGCTTTGGAGCATCAGCACATGTGGGGGGTGTTCTGCGAGGGTGGGATGGGTACAGCTCTGGAAGTCCTGGGGCAGTCACTGGTGACCACCTGATCACAAGCTGTGGAAGCGACCGGTGGGAATGTCCACAGGCTAAACTCCTTTGACTCTAGACAAATCCATTGCTTATTTCTGTTCTGGACACACTGAGCTGCACAGGGATACGCTGACTGCCACGGGCCAGAGTTCTGCCAAACCTGGAGCCAGGTGAGGGAGGGGCTCACAGGGTGGGCTGTCAGTACGCAGGAGAGTCATTCAAGAATTCAATGTTGCCTAGCAAAGGGTACAAAGGGGTCAGGCTGGGTCAAGTGAGTTTACTCCTACCAGGGTGGTTCATAATGGCCTATAAATGGCTTTCTGGGGGAGCCAGGGTTTCAGAACTTGGAGCAACAGTCTGTCCTGACCTTGACACTGTCCTGTGACTCCCTCCAGATTCATTGTTTTCTTTATCTCACACTTTCCCCAGGAGAAGTAAGCCTCACTCTACTGAGAGCTGGGCAGGGGCACTGCCTTGTTCAAGCGCAATTTCAGGATGTCAGAGCTGGGGTAGGCAAGTCTGGCTGCTGACTTTGCACAAGGGCCTGATCCACTGACCTGGGAGATGACAAGCTTGAAGGACGACTTGAATTCTTGCACGTCGGTAGTCAAGCGGCTCACTAGCTGCCCTGTCTTTTTGGCATCAAAGAAAGCAATGTCTTGCCTGGCAGTAAAACATGATGGTAGTAGGTGGAGGAAGACAGGGAGATGTTACTTCAGGATCTGGCCCTCCGAGACCTCCTGGGAGCCATCAGTCACCCTGGACCCACCCCCTACAGCTGGCAGTACCGGAGCAGGGAGCTGAAAAGGGCTCTCCGCATGTCCATGGCCATGCGCTCACCGATGTGGGACAGCAGCACTAGGTATCCGAAGGTCAGCAATCCCTGTAAGAGAGGCCTGGTACTCAGGGAGGCCCCAGGAAGGCTGCTGTGAGCCCCAGGCCCTCCCACCCCACTGTACCTGAAAACCGTAGAGTAGGAGCAGCTGGGTACTGAGCTTACGGGACTCAGACACGAAACTCCCCACACGGTCCCTCATGTACTTGGCCACAATCTCCACCAGCTGGCCCAGGAGCAGGGGGATCTGCACATTCACTAGTGCCGCACCCAAGGCCAGCTGGAATGGGGACAGAGGGGAAAGACACTTGGAGAGGAGGCCATATTTGTCCCCTCCCCAGTTCTGACTTTGGCTTCTCCTTTCCCCTTACTGAGCCTTGTCCACCCTGGGGCTGCTCATGTGGTCACAGAAGCGTCCAGGCCTCCAGCCCGAGTTCTCATATCCCACAAACTCAGTCCCGCTGCATGGGTCATCCTGATGCCCAGAGCCCAGGCGGCCCTTACTATTCCCACAAGGCAGAAATGCTGTTTCTGTGCAACTCAGGTTTGGCGTTGCCTAGGCCTTTCCTGGCTTGAGCATAGAGGGGCAGGGAAAGCCTCACCACAATGGCTACCCCCAGGGCCAGCAGGTGGGGGTGAAGGAAATGCCAGAACAGCTTCCAGTTAAAGCGCAGCTCCAGGGCACTGGGTGTGTGCTGGGCAGGACGGGATCCTTTGGCTTCACACAGTGCTACAAGGCAGAGGCGGGGATGCTGCCACAGCACTGCAGGAACCACCAAGGTTCCCCCAACCCAACACCAGGCAGAGGGGCTCCGTCGGGAAGCTGGTGGGACTCGAGGGAGGTGAGCCCGGAGCTGGGCCACCGCCCGGAGGAGGCAGGAGCTGAATCGGTCATCTGAAGACCTGTAGATAGGAAAAGGCATCGACAGCTGTGGTCCTGGTTGTCCTTCAAATGACTAACCACTCCCCTGGGCTCTGGATGAGCCTCTGGAACAGCATTTTATCTGCTGCCTCTCCTAGGGACAGTTTTTATTTTACTTTACTTTTGAGATAAGATCTACTAATATTCCCCAGCCTGGCCTTGAACTTCTGCTCCCAAATGACCCTCCTGTTCAGCTTCCTGAGTAGCTATGACTCAGTATGTGCTACCTCACCTAGAGTGAATGTCTTAGGACAGTCTTAAGCAACTCTGGTTTGTAAGACACTTGCACACATACGGAATGCAATGTTATCAGACTACACTCTTAAGAGTCTTTCCCCTAGCATTGCCTTTCAGCCAGCATCAGCCAGCAAGGCCCCCATTTAGCCTCCAGCACCCTGGTCAGCACAGGTCTCCAGCCTGTCAGAGTGAGAAGAGTCGTGGAGTGGCAGCCAGCCCCAGGTCTCCTTTACAGGGCAGACCAAGGCTTCCAAGAGGCTGGCTCAGAGAAAATCCTGGGGGCAAGCTTCTTTGGGCCTGGCCCTGCACGTGTGCAAGGTAATCAACATGGCAGCCACGACCTAGAAATAGTGAGTTGATGGTCCATAGTCCCTCCATGACTCTAGAAGATGCCCTTATTCTCTCTTGGTAAGAACAACAACAGGCAGGTGGTACAATTTGTCCCAAGGGATGAGATGGGGAAGAGGGAACTTCGCTGTCTGGTTCCAGAATCCTACAGTTCATTCTACCATCCTAAATTTGATATGGCCAAGGCTATGTGTGGTAGTCGAGGCCAGAGAGGCCCCAAAGTCTTTGGACTTATTTGACCCCATTACCCTACCTCATAGGTAAGGCCCTGAGTGCCTGATGCATGAAGACAGAGGGCCAGACGTTCCTCTTCCACTGCTGACAGAGGACACAGAAAAACACAAAGGACCAATCTCATCCTCTTAGATGGCCAAGTCCTTTTTTCCTTCAGGTCTCAGATGTACATAATGGAAACGTAGATTCAACTGCTTACAACATCTGTGAACCTAGTGTGTCATGGAGTATGGAACTGACCAAGTTGGGCAAAGCAAATTCCTTGTCCCTGGGTCATGCTGGTTGGGGCAAGGGTGGGGTGAAGAGGCCTAGAGGTCAGAGAGCAGCAGGAGGTGTCATGCTGGTTGGGGTAAGGGTGGGGTGAAGAGGCCTAGAGGTCAGAGCAGCAGGCACCGCTGTATTTGACAAAAGCATCAGAAGAGGTCAAGTTCAGACAGGGATAGAGGGGAGGGGAGGCAATGGAACACTCTCAGGAGCTTCCGTAGTAAGAGTAAGAGTTTCAGCAACAATGTAGCTGTGACAGGGCACATGGGGAGGGAGAGGAAGCCCTGGCGGGGCAGTCATCCCAGTCTCTGCAAAGCACCGGGATGTAAGAAGACCACATTGCTGGCTCTTCAGGGCCGTCTGTGGTTTTTAGGATAAGGCGTAATGAAATCAGATTTGTATTTTAGAAGTCACAGGAGAAGAGCAAGAGGGGAAGCCAGGGCAGAGGGAGTCTTTTGGAGCAGAGGTTATCTGGCCAAAAGTACACAAAGGAATGCTCAAAACAGACTACTGAGGAGGACGCACAAGCGGGGTGTGGCCGTGCATTTCTGAAATCCCAGACTTGGGAGGCTGAGGCTGGAAGATTTCAAGTTCAAGGCCAGCTGGTGCTACAAAGTGAGACCTCATTAACAGTTCCATAGTGTTCTTATAGAGGACCTGAGGTTGATTCCAGCGCTCCTATCAGGAAGCTCACAACAGTAATTGCAGCTTGAGGGGATCCAATCTCTCTGGCCTCCTCTGACCCCTGTGCTATTGTACACATAACCCTCACTCACACACACACACACAAAGATAATTAACATAAACATAATTAAAAATAAATAAGAATCCAGAGTGAGGCTTTGCTTGGTCTTTAGTATCATGGCTTTTCATATTTCCATACCCTCCTTATTATAGATTTCACCCCTTCTTTGCTCTCAGGGAAGCCTGTGCTTAACCTTGCCCGGTTTGTCTTTTTTCCCACTGTCCCTGAAGACAATCTATCTTCAGTTTTAGACAAAACTTACTTCCTTTTCTTTCTGTACCACTGGCCTACTTTTCCATTAGCTAGTATCTTCCTGAGGGGGCAAGGCCTTATTTTATTCTCTAGAACACAGGAAAGCTCTGGGATATGAGATGTCTACTGAGCAGATGTTTGTGGGGCTGTGCAGGTCCCCATGCACAGGGAGCTGCATCACAGGCTGACCTGACACCTGCAATGTTTTGCAAACATACAGATTCACTGTGACTGGCACTGTATATTGTGACTTAGCACAAATCCCCAGTACAATCCAGTACTCTGTGTGTGTGTGGATGCCAAAGCTGAAAGGTTTCACAAAATACTTCCCTTAATTATGAAACACATATTCTGACAGTTTCTACTATATTCCTTTCAAAATGACCCTGACTGCTAAATTCCTTTCATGAACTGAAATGAACTCATTCATTTTTTTGGTCTTACCTTGTGTCTCTTTATGGTTTAAATATTATCAACACCCTCATTCTTTCCTAAAGACTGTCTTCAAAGCATTAATAATTTACCATGGCTACTTTCCAGCTACTCTCATCTCCTCCAGACCAAGACTCTAAGAAGGCACTGCGATCGCCAACAATTGGTGGACAGCTTCCAGCCTAGCACTTCTAGTTCGGGGCTTGTCCTTCCTCCAGCAAACAGATGGGCTTTCCACACGGTCACCCATCCTTGGCAATCTTCCTCTGGACTTCTTAGGGAAACAGTTGCTTCTTATAGAATATTTACAATTAAATTCTAGATTCTGGGTAGCAGGGCACCCCTACAATCCCAGCACTCAGGAGACAGGGGCAGGTGGATCTCTGTGAGTTCAGACCCCAGGCCAGTCAGAGCTGCATAGTGAAACCTTGTCTTCAAAACAAAAACAAAACAAAGCAAGAGGAGGGGGAAGAAAAAAATTAGATTCTGGATTCTTGCTTGTTTTCAACTTATTTTTTCCTCTGGTCCAGTGAGTATAGGCTGGAGTTTTGTTTTTTTTTTTTTTAATTTTTTTTTTTTTCGAGACAGGGTTTCTCCGTGTAGCTTTGGAGCCTGACCTGGCACTAGCTCTTGTAGACCAGGCTGGCTTCAAATTCACTGAGATCCACCGGCCTCTGCTTCCCCAGTGCTGGGATTAAAGGAGTGTGCCACCACTGCCCGGCTGGAGCTTTTATTTTTTAAATCTTACCAAGAATGGCTCAGGTTTTTCCACCCAGGGTACTAGGAATTGAGCCTATGGTTCATGTATGACAAGAAAATGTTCTACCACTGAACATGATCCCAGCCCTCTTTTTGCTCTTTATTTTTTACATTTTATTTGTGTGTGTATGTATGTGAGTGCGTGTGTGTATGAGTGTGTGTGTGCACGCCCGAGTGAGTGGAGATCAAAGGACAATTGCAGGAGTCAGTTCTCAGCTTCCACGTGTGGGTCCCAAGGACTGACAAACTCAGGGGATCATGCTGGTACCACATCTTTACCTAGTGAAACATCCGAATGGCCTTTTTACTCTTCATTTTGACACAGGATCTTACAAAGTTGTCCAGTTAGGCCTTGAATTTAGAATGTATGATATACATTCTACTGTACATTGAATTTAGACTCAGCTTCCTGAGAAAATAGGACTGTAGGCTCCTACTAAGCCCAGTTCAGATTGACTCAATTCCTAATGCATCTAGCTCTAAGAATCACTTCTTGATTCATTCTGTACACGCCATAGCCCAAAATGACTCAGAACTCACTCTGTAGCCCATGCTGCCTTCAAATTCCCAGCAGCCTTCCTGCTTCAGCCTGAATGCTGATATTTCACTGCGTAGCTCTGGCTGGCCTGGAGCTCTCTATAGATCAGGCTGCCTTGAATTCACAGAGTTCCACTAGGCCCAGCTAGGAACTACTTTAAAACATTTAAATGTATGTGTTTATTTATTGGGTTTGGGGTCAAAGGACAATTTGCCGGAGTTGCGCTCTCCTATCCTAAGAGGTCTCAGGTCGAACCCAGGTCTTCAGGCTTGGTGCAAGCGCCCTTGCCCACTGAACCATCTCGCGAGCTAAAGAATCTCTTTTCATCGTTTAAAATTATTTCGGCTAATCCTGAAACACCATCAATAGTAAATATCTATGGACACCAATTACAGATACGTCCAGATCTCCAGGTGGATTACCAGAAAGCGGACGCCGGCTGCGAGAGGCGCCTCTTGATGGGCAGTGGTGCCTGGGTGTGACCACAGACCCGGAGTCCGAAGTGTCCTGTTCACTAGTAGGTGCAGACCTGCGGAGCCTCCTGTTGGCACCCACACTGCACCGTAAATAATTGAGGCCAATTCCCTGGGGAGTGACATTCTACTCCTGCCGAGAGAGCCTACAGCTCCCAGAAGGCCACGCGCGAGTCCAGAACTCCACCTCCCAGCGGGCCCCGCGCGATGCCGGCCGGTCAATAGCCTGCACTTTAACCCTCATTCTTTTACCTGGCGGCCGAGAATGTCTGGAAGCGCAAGGATTGTAGCGACCAGCCTGGAAATGAAGCACCCCGAATTCCGACCCGAAATAAGTGCACCAACATGATGAGGCAGTAAGACAGGAGCAATGGGTCACTCTCATCCTACCAAGGGCTCCATGTTAGCTATGGCCACCATCCCGACAATCCCCTCGCACCTCAGCGGTGATTGGAGAAAAGAGTCATCAGACTTGTCACAAAGCTGTGATTGGATAAAATGTTGGCTGAGGCGGTACTTTTCGTTCAGTGCCCTAGGGCGAGGTGACGGTGGGAGGGTGTGCTACGTTTATTCTCACGTTAGGGGAGGTCTTAACGCTCTGGCTTCAGGATATCCCTGATAGTCTCTACGTGCCCTGACATCTTCAGAGAGTGTTTTGTGCTAGTTTGGGGGGAGGAATGGGCGAAAATAGACTGGGGAAGTTTAAAACAAACCAAAACCTACATGCACGTGACATGCCACCACTCTAGTCTCCAGCTCTTGGAGACTTGAGCCACATGCATTGAAAACGCCCCGACTGGTCCTGATAGTGACCCTCAATTATTTTGAATGATTCGTATGGAGATTATGAAGCTTATCAAGGTGCAACCTAAGATCTAACCCACAGGTTCCTTTCTAATTTGGGTCTTAATCACTGGCCTCAGGTTCTAGCCCAAGAGCGAGAGGCGCTTGCACCTGTGGGGCACTTATTATTGCTATAATTATCCCCTATACGATCTCCCAACCGAGTCCTGCTATGTAGCTCTGGCTAGCCTTAAACTCCCTTCGTAACCCAGGCTTGTCTTGAACTCGCTATCCTTCCTTCCCAGCGCTGGGATTACAGGCTTGAGTCACCAAACCTTCTATGTAATTATTTTCTTAACTCCCTCCTCCACCGGGTTATGGCTTCTTGGTGGGAGTGGCTCTGACTGGTTCCTGTTCTCCTCCAGACTTGTCAGGGAAAAGCGCCCTGATGCTCACTGCTCACCAGGGGGCGCCTCTTCTGGCCCTCATCTGAACATTTGAACTAGTGTTACTACGGATGGTGCTTCCGAGATTCAAAACGACTGAGGGAGGAAAATAGATGCTGTGGATATGGGAATTTAGAGTGAGACTGGACCGAGGAAATCAGGCTGTGTGTAGTCGCAAACAAGTACGGACCATCAAGGATGCTGTGTGAGTGATGGCCCAGGGAGGTACCAGTTAAAACCTCACTTAACCTCTCTCTCTAGAGGTCTCAGAAAGATCATGAGTCCCCACTCCCACCACCACTACCCCCTCTCTATTTTGTCACTTACAAAAAAGTTTTCATAGTTCTACACCTTGCCCAGCCACAAAGGTATGGAAGCCATGAAAACTATGGTGACAATTTGTTTGCCAGAAAGGAGGCAGAAAAATAAGAAAACTTGGGTCAAACTTGTGGGAAATTCCATGAAAGTCCTTCATGTTCCTCCAGGAAACAGTCTAGGAAGCACCATGTTCCTCTCCATTTCTGGGGTACTAGCCTAAATCCTGAAGGCCCTGACACCTGTTAGCCAAGTCAGCCTCTCAGGCATGGCTTCGGTTAGGGCACTTGGTGACTCAGGACCTTGGGAATGGCGTTGGGCAAGCCATCAGACAAGCCACCTCGGCCTCCTCCTCCCTGGTGAGGCAACAACAAGGAACTCAACTCAGCCAGTCCATCTCCGCATGCCCACATCATCCTCCCAAGTTCTTACCACCTGCCGTTGCTGGAGCTTCTGAGGAGGCCCCTGACACCAGGTCAGGGCTTGGAGGAGAGTATACTGGGGTTTAAGAGGGTAAAGAAGACATAATGGAACTTGCAAGGAACCAGGCTTTTCTACTTTAAGCCCTTTAGATGATTTCTCAAATCCAAGATGGCTAGCATTTCTTCCTTTTCCTTCCTTCCTGCTGTTTCCTCCCAGCCTCTGTCTCTTCCCAAGTGCCGGCAGATCTGAGTGGGCAGGTGATCTTCAGTCATTCTCTTAGGTATGGAGGGGAGGGAATTAAAGATTTAACATCCCATTCCCAAGACTCCATAACCCTCTGATGGGATTTTGCTTTTCCTGTGTTTGTTATTTTTGTTGTGTCTACCCTCTCTTCCACTTTTGTGCCCTCACGGGCTGGCAGCAGAGATATCAGGTATCTCTTCTAGTCCCCAGAGCTCTTGAACCCCTGCCTCCCAAACTGTTCCCTCCCAGGCGTGGAGCCTGGACCTTGGCCCCAGGTTGCCCTGCAAGAAGTGTGTGAGTGATCACACAGGTGGCGGAGGGCTGGCATGCCTGAGGCCTGCCCAGCCTGAGTCACCTGGTGCTGTTGTTGTCATTGTCCCTGTTGTAGTCTCTGCTTAGCTTCACAGACCTCTGTGGAAACAGCAGCAGCCCAGTCCCTTCAACCTCTCAGGAGAAGCACCCGCTTGATGGTGAGCCGAATGGGGTGGGGGGGGAGCCGGAGGCAGCGGGGGCGGTGGGGAGACTTGGGGCCCAGCTCAGTGCCTCTGCTCCCTATGGCACTGCCACTGCCTGCTTCTCCATGTCGGGGACTTGGGGGAGGGAGGATCTCTGTCTTCTCTCTGTCTCCTGCCCCTCGTACAAGAAGCTGCTCCTCTTCACTGTTTCCTCCTGCCTCAGGGTCCCCCTGCTTGGTGACTCAGGAGGCAGGGGCTTCTCAGCTTCCATACAATGCCTCACCCACCCCAGCCACACCCCTAGCACAGACCCATCCCACAATGACACCCACCTCTGCTTCCCCCTCGTGGGGGTCCCACTCCACCCCACCCCTGGCCTCGGTCACTCCCCCTCCCTCCTGCCGATGCCCCCAGGACCATCCTGGGCTGCGGATAGGTCCTCTGATCCCTGAGCAGGATTATGAACGACTAGAGGACTGTGACCCTGAGGGGTCCCAAGACTCACCCCTCCATGGGGAGGACCATCAACCCTTGCTTCATGTGCCTGAAGGACTCCGTGGTAAGTGTGGGGGTATTTGAGACATGGAGCAGGTTGGAGATCTAGGCAGGTTTGGGTTTGCATGAGCCATGATGCCAAGTCCCGACATGGTTTCTCTGTACCCAGGCTCCTGGCATCACATCCAGAACCTGGACAGCTTCTTCACCAAGATATCCTTTGTGGCCAACATGCAGAGGGACATGGTGGGGGACTGTGGATCAGGGGAGAGTGGGGGAAGTCTCTTTGGGAAGAGTCCATAGACAGGTTTATTTCTTGACAAACTTGCCACATCTACAGCTACCACCAGCGGAATGGTTTTGCCTGTATCCTGTTGGAAGATGTCTTCCAGCTGGGGTGAGAAGTCAGTCCTATCCCTAAATTCTGTCTTCTTTTCTTATCTTTAGGTTTTTGTTTTGTTTTTGAACCAGGGTCTCATGTATTCCAGGTTAGACATGAATTCCTGTTACTCCTGCCTCTACCTCCCAAGTGCTAAAATTACAGGCATGTGCTACCAAACCCAGTTTCTGTGGTCCGTGAGAGCAAATCTAGGGCTTCATGTTTGCGAGGCAGACACTCTACCAACTGAGCTGTGCCCCAACTCTCCTTTTTCAGTTCTAGTCTTGGTGCTCTGATGGGTGAGGGGTCATATAGCGCCTCAGCTTGTCTGGCAACTGGTCTAAGAGTCCACCTTGCCCTTAGGCCTGACCAGGGCCCTCTCCCTGCATCCCTTTCTCAGACAGTTCATCTTCATTGTCACCTTCACGACCTTCCTCCTTCGCTGTGTGGATTACAATGTCCTCTTCAACAACCAACCAAAGAACCATACGAGACCTGGAGCGTTCCACAACAAAGTGACCTTGTCAGATGCTATTCTACCCTCAGCCCAGTGTGCAGAGAAGTAAGTGATGGTCTGGTAGGTGCCTCTGGATTAAACTCACAAAAGGACGGAAGAAAGGAACCTCCCTCTACTGTCCCTTGGTCTAGATCAAGTCTCAAAGTGCTTGGCATATTTAAAAACATACCCCAAGTTGACCGAGCATTTCAAAGCCTTGTATTATGAGTCACGTTTCTATTTACCTTATTAGAAATTAAAGGTGAGGACAACTGTTTATTTTTAGTGCTGGGGAGCAAACCTAGGGCTTCTGGCATGCTGGGCAAACACTGTACCACTCAGACACATCCCTAGCCCTGAGGACAACTTTACAACTTAAGAATGCACAAGTGCATGTCATATAGGATGTCAGTATGATGTGACATCTTCACTTGCCCTGTAGTTCCTGGAAAACGCCATTTTACATTCATGGGAAAATGAGAATACAAAAAACAGACAGCATGAGTGTTGTTTGTGAAAAGTGTTGACTTTGCAGACACTTTTGAAGCCCTCACTGAGGACCCCCACCCAGCCCCACTGAGACCTGCAGGTGTTTCTGTGGGTTTCCCACCTTTCTGTTCCCCTTCCTGTCCAACCTCCTGCAGGATCCACGACAGTGCTCTGTTGGTCTTCCTCCTAGTCTTGGCTGCTGGCTTCTGGCTGTTCCAGCTGCTTCGTTCAGTCTGCAACCTCTTCAGCTACTGGGACATCCAGGTGTTTTACAGGGAGGCCCTGCACATTACCCCAGTAAGCCTGCTGTGACAGCATGGGCAGAGGACAGGAGAGAGTGGGGCCAGACACATGGAAGGACCAACTGAGAGGAGCAGAAAGATGGAGGCTGAAGGATACCTGCCCTGGGCCTTGAGTAATAGCAGGAGGCACTGGCACTGCCCCTGGCACTTAGCAAGCTTGGCTCTGACCCTTGTGGAGCTTCCTTTACTCAGATGGGTCATATACGGTGACTTATAGTCACATGCTGGTGGTAAAAACAATGGCTGTTTGGAGGACGGGCTGTCACTGGGCTTTCAAGGGCAGGAGGCATCCTGATTGGGTGAGGAAGGTCAGGCCAGCCAGATCTCTCAGCAGGAAGTGAGGCAGTGGGGATGGGCTTGCCTGCCTGAAATAGTCTTCTAGGACACCTGAAATGGAAGCCACTCTCTTTTTTGTTTGTTTGCTTTTTGGAGACAGGGTTTCTCTGTGTAGCTTTGGAGCCTGTCCTAGAACTCACTTTGTAGACCAGATTGGCCTCGAACTCACAGAGATCCCCTTGCCTCTGCTGGGATTAAAGGTGTGTGCCATCACTGCCCGGGCTGAGAGCCACTTTTTACTGTCCGCTGGTCATGTTCCTTCTA